GTCGCTCAGGTTCGCGCTAGACAGTTGGCAGGTGCCCTCGGCACCCCATGCTGATCTAGCCTTCCGGAAGGTATCTTGTAGGAGTCTCTCAAGTTCTTCACTGGTATATTCGTATTTTTGTTAATAATATATTTTAAAGTTCAATATTTTCTTTATAAATAAAATAAAAATTTTCTTTCTAAAGTTTTAATCTTTTAAACTCAAATAGTAGTCTAGTCATTTTCTATTTAAATGTATGTCAAGTAAAGTTAGTGGACTCTTTTTCCAACAAATAATAAATCTTGTTAGTATATAAATAATTGTCAAAAGACTGAAATGAAATTGTAAAAAAAATTACAAAAAAATGCAATACATAAGTCGAGCTAGGCGTGGACCCATATTGGCCCATCTAATGGCCCGACACGAGCCCGGCTTGGTCCTATATGGGCTAGGACTGGACTTAATAATTTTCATAAATGGACGGACCATCACAACACGATCCATTTGACACTTCTAGCTACAAGCCTATGTAATTCCTATTTTTACATGTTTTTTCTTTCTTCTCTCCTCATTTTCAGCTCGTAGGCCCTCCAAGTTGGTATGTATTTTCATATACAAATTGACACGCCCTGACTCAGGATGCGGCAAAAACCTCAAACTAGAAATAAATAAAGTTATATCACTCTCATCTAATTCAACCCCAACTGGTTTAGTCATTGTCTTACCCACTAATTTGATTGAAATTTATAAAGGGTGAGCAAATCACCGCTCAGTAGGGACATAAACCATAGAGCATCCACAATCATGCTCCTTATTTTTTTTTTGGTTAAAATTTAGCTAAAAACACTAGATAGCTATTTTAAGAGCTCCTTATAAAATTTCAACTCCAACCATACTCCCTAGTTTAGGGAATCATAAATGATTTATTTCTTTTTTTAGTTTAGCATAAATGCTCCCTCTTCATATAAAAAAGAAAAAATAATAGTTAGCATTAATTAAATACTTAAAATAACATTAAAGTAAAGCATCTTTTAATTATAGAGAGTCATTAAGGGCTCTTTTTCTCTCATCATATTTAGGAGTTGGATAGGGAGCATGGTTGGAGGTGGACTTTCTTACTTCCTCCCTAAATTTTATCTAAGGAGGTGATTTAGGGAGTCCATTGTGGATGCTCTTACCACAGTAAATTGACAAAATAAAATGAAGTGACATGCAATCATTACAATATTAATAATAATGCATGAGTGTAATGTGAACTCTTCGTCTATTCCCGTTATAACTGAACAAATAGACCTTGCACATTACATATCATGCTTATACCACTTGGTCCCGATGTCCATTTATATTAATTAAGACCCTTCTCAATATTCCCAAAATCAAGTTCCAGCAACAAAGGTTGGCCTAGTGTTAATGTATGAATTTTGATTAATTCTTTTGGCTTCCCTTGACAATTTTGTAATATGATTTTTATTATATTTATCAAGCTCAAAGTTTAGATTAAGAATAGCATCTCTAGGTGTTCTTAACTATCTTCTATCCTATGGAGGTTCAAGCAAATTGACAAAGGTAAATCATGCATTGCATATCATGCATTAAACTGTTTTCATAAATGATGACTAGTCATCCTTGCTCTGTAGGATTTCCAGCTGGTTAACCATCTGTTTTGTCATATTCTCTTTTCTCTCTCTGCTGCCATGTGTCAGTCCGACCTAAGGGATTCTTTTGTCTGTAAAGGCAAGTGAATTCCTCTTTTGGCAGCCGTCTCTTTTATGTGGAAGTTTTGGAAAGATTGGCTTGCCATCTTTCTCTTCTTCTTCCTCAAGAGTGAACCACATATTTCATCTATGAGTTTTTCTAATTGATTTCTTTTTGAAAAACTGCTTTTGAAATATGAATCTGCATCTAGCTATTTAAATCATTCTCTCATTTAGATCTAGGTCAGATTCAAGACTGATTTCTTCAAGAGTATGGTTTCTTGTAGAAATTGGTTATTCTCCCTTGAATCCAAATTTGGGTTCCGGTCTAAGATGGAGCTTGCAAGCTAGTGCCATGGGATGAACGAGCTGGAGAAGGAGCTGCCATTGCCATGAAGAACTGAGCTTCAAGCTTTGCTAAGTTGGAGAAGAAGATTGCACAAAGGAGGTATATATAGCTAATCTTCCTAAATAGATCTAGGTTTTGCTTGAGCTTGCTTGTATTCCTTTGTAAGAATCTTTTTCTACTTAGTGGATTGCCTAGTCGGTTGATGACTCCCAGTTTTTCCCAATGGTGGGTAAACAAATTCTGTTTTGCATATCTGTAAATTTTTCTGGGTTTGTGTTCTTGGTGGTTGACTAGTCATCTATATATGCTGTTTGCTGTTTACTTGATAATGATGACTTCACACACTTTCACCATAGTTGTTGCTAGCACAGGGGATGCCTAGATTGACGGGTCCTTCTGAATGCCTAAGTTGTCACTAGTAATATTCTAGGGCTGCAGGTACTTTGTGGCATGCTCTGTGTGCTCTCTTGATTGTTGTGTTGTTATGTCTTATTTGTTTCGTTAAATTTACCCCTCATCACCTAAGTACCATTTTCACCTGGGCAGCTGGTAGGGTCCACAAGCCTAGGCTGGCTCGAAGGCGCGCGGCTAACGTCATTGCTGATGCCAGCGTGACGTCAGCAGGCGGGTTTGAAATTTTTTTACCGTTGGTGCGTGCACACGCCAACGTTAAAAAAAATTTGCTGCGCACGCGTCAGCTTTCCCCCAACGGATCTATGCCATGTGGCATGTTTTGGTCCTTCCGATTCGTTTTGTCATCCAATCCAACGCCTTGGAATTTTTCAAGGCAAAAAATAATGAAACAAATTCGTAAAATTTTTATAAAAAAACCCCAAAAATTACTGAATTTTTTTTTTTCTATAAATACCAATCCCTACTCTTCACTTTTAACAACAAATCCTCATACATCTTCTCCTTCTCCAACTATTATTCACTCTCTACTCAATATTTTTTTCACTTTCTACTCTAAATTTTTTTCACTTTCAAGTTTAATTTTTCTCTATCATTTGTGAAAAAAACAAAAAATTGAATAGTACTTGCCCTTTGTCATGTCAACTGCTGGAATTGCCCTTACCAATAGTTTGACTCAACTACACAAAATATCCTTTCCATTACCCTCATTACCCTCATTTCCATAATTTCTTTTTCAACCCAGGAACTCCAACCAAATCTCATAACATAATGAAATTCTTAATATAATTTTTATGTTTACCTATCGCATGCATATAAAAGTGTAATAAATCAATCATCATGAACATGTGAGCATGCCAATATTAACTAGTAACACATTAATACCCAAAACAAACCATAATCAATAGCACTAATCAAATTATAATATCAAGCGCCCACACACATCAATAACACTAATCAAATTATAATTTTATACTTGAGATTTCAAATTTGAAAGTTAAAACAAAAACATCAACTATTTCATACTTTGTATCATCATGTGAAACCAAAATCATCAACATCTTAACTATTTCAAACACGTATAAAACCAAGAAATATAAAGTGCAATCTTAATTATATTATGCATCCATACATTTAAGCCCTGTTTCGTTGGCCATTGCAAAGGGTGCCCTTGGCAAGGTCATGCATGCCCTCCTCCATTGACACGCATATATTTTGTCCAAGCGACTTCAGCTCAGCTGTGTCATGTGCTGGTATCCCACAAAAGCAAAGGAATATGAGCTTCTGGCCGTGGAAGACACCTTGGACGTGACAAATCATTACAAGCCCTTTTGTCTTCATAATAAGGGATGGCTTTCCATGACCCATGGCTTCATACAAGTTCTGTACAACCAGGTTAGCTGAGAGACACGTGCAAATTACAATACATGGCCCGAGGAGATATATGCTCATTCATTGGGATTCATGGTCCCTCTTTGATAGAGAAATGGCTCCCTCCATGCTTGACTTTTTAATACATATATTTTTTTTCCCTATTGAAAAATCCATAGAGCAATCAACATCCAAGTTGAAATTGAATGAATCCCATTCAATGTAACTCAAATGGTCCAGGTATTTTTAAAATGCATTTGCTCTTCCATTCAATATTTCATTAACTATTGTGGACCAAATTTATTGCTATTAAATCCAAACTGAGTTGTTCAGGCGCGAGTACTTTTATAAAAAGATCATGCATTTGTTCATATCTCTCATGTTTGAATTTTGAAAGTTATCTTTTATACGCTCTCATATTTACCAACCAAAAATAAAAAAAATCCAAACTGACTGTCAAAATGAAAATGACTATACTTAACAAACTTGTTAAGATATGCAAATAACAACCTAATTCTCCTCAAACTGTAAAAAAAGCCCATAGGAAACTCCACTGGGCCCAAACAAACTCCACCTGAACTAAAACCAACCAATTGCCAACTAGTCTAATCACAACATAGAGATCCCATTCCCCACATGGTTAAATAGTCCAACAGAGCATCCAAAGACACTATGAAAAGACCTCCCATCAACCTTTAACCCATTCTCAATATGGTTAATGTTATGAGTCCTTTTGTTGTACAATCAATGTATTATACTTTTTAACTCCCGAGTTAAAAAGAGTAAAATCTGACCGTTGATAAAACACCACATCTGTACGTTGAATGTGACGCATAATTACACCGATGAACTACACTTTTTAACTATCGAGTTAAAAGATTAAAAGGGTTATAATTTGGCCGTTGATAAAACAACGCACCTGTGCATTGAATGTGCCACATAATTACGCAATGCCAAATGACAAGTCACTCTAACAACCAATTAGGATATAGGCTTATTATTTCAAAAGATATTATGTATATATATATATATAT